AAATAAAATTAAAAAGCAAACTTAGACTTTATTATTTAACTCCTATTTAAGGCGGCAAAGGCAATTTTGGTAAAATTCATCAAAACTTTTGATTGTATTACGTGGAGCCTACGCCTTGAGTGGTTGTTAATCTTTGCACAAAGTTTTTGTTATAATATATATATGTTATTCAAAGTGTCAGCAATAATATGATGAAAAGAAACTGAAAACATACATTATATATGTTATTCATATGATAAAAATTATAAGCCACTTTAATTCCATACTTAAAAATTACATATCAAATGGGTATTTGGTTTGGACAAAAAAATACTATACTATACTCTTAATCTACGTTAGTTATTGTTATTTCTGTTTATTTGTTCTACCGTATGGACTTTGCACTTTTGGGTAAAGGCCTCTTCCTGAACTTTCCATTTGGATCTGTTCTTAGCTTCCTCCATTAATTTCTCCCCAGAAACCTTATCTATGTCGTCAGGCCATCGCTTTTGTGGTCTTCCCACGTTTCGTTTTCCGTTTCCTCTTCAACTTCAGCGGTCCATCTTTTTTCTCTAGACCTTGGGCAGGCCATATTCATAAGATATTCTTCAATAATCCGTTATCTTTGAATGATTCTGTTCCTATTTGGAGCATTAAACTGAATGCCAAAATCTGGAACAGCTATTAACACGATGTATCTTGCACAGTAACGAGATCCAATTGATGAGCAAATTGTACAGTGCGCAGCAGAATATAGTTTATTGTTCATGGTAAATAGGATAAAATGCAATAATGACAATCCAGATAAAAAAGATATGACTGTCATTAAAGAAAGATTTTTTATATTAGAAATTAAATAATACATGTATACTAGTGGACCCCACAGACGTTGTCCTGCATGATATTTAAAGCGATTAGGATATTAAGCAAAGTATGAAAGTACCGACTGCAGTGCCATCTGCCGGGCTGATTTGTGAATCTAAACCATTCCCAGATCCCCATGAACACACACAAAAAATTTCATCAAAATCGGTCCAGTCGTTTAGGAGGAGTTCAGTCACATACACACGCACAGAAGAAATATATATATTAAGATATTTTTGAGGAATGTTTTATTAAGTTAATAAAACATTCATAAACATATGGAAGAGCTGGGAACCCAGACACAGGTATGTTTTTATTTAAAAGGTGTTCCCAAATCTTTTACATTATAATGAATTGTTGTAAAACTTTTTTATTATTTTTATATAATAAATACACTTAAATATTTTGAATGGATTTCGAACCAATAAATGCGTGATAAGGAAGGTTTAGGTTAGAATTTTTTGAATCAAATTTATGATAAATTATCTGAAATTGTATGGTTATTGTCGAGGTCGCAAATCAATATTTCCCAAAATATATAAAATTCGGATTCTTCAGTGCAATAACAATTATTTGCTAAATAATATTTGTTGAAAATAGTGTGATGTTTCATTTTCAAATTGAATGAAAATCTATTGATTTTAAAACGCATATAGACACACAATGCATTTTAATTATTCAGATTCCCCTTTTCATATTTTCGTTCTCATTCCGCAACGATTGAGAGGTTTCGAAAACTATTTGTATTTCGATTCAAATCCTATTCCACTGTCTGACATTAATCCTAGCGTAAGCAGCGTAAACGAAACTGTATGAATTAATACATCACAAATTCTATGAACATTCCTAGTACAAATGTGTGTATGTATTCTATTTGTTTCTGTTTTAATACCCAGTAGATGAAAGTTTGGAATAACTAATTGTAGTTGGAAAAACCGTGGGCGAAATACCGTGGTTCGAAATTAATTATTTCTTGTTTGGCAAAAACTATGTTCATAAACCAAAACAAGGTAAATATAAAACTCATTAAACGCCTAAAATGTTAAAAAATCTTACTCCTGAAATACTTCTTAGAAGGGCATCGAAGCAAATTTTCATTATTTATTTGATACGGTTTTTTAATTTATTACTATGCTAGGTTACAAGTACAACATAGATAAATTAATGAACTCTATTTAAACAGCTCTCATGGATCTCAAACTTGGGCGACCACTAAAGCATATCATACAAAGGTGTGTCGAAGATCGATGGAACAATGTGTGATATGGAAGAAAAGAATAGACAAAATAAAGAATACAACTGTAAGAAAAACAACTAAGGTAACAGATTTTACAATAAAACTAAACTGGAAATGGGTGGGGCACATGGCAAGAAGAACAAAAAAGTACTAAACTGCTGCCCAAGGTACAGCAAAAGAAAAAGAGGGCAACTTAGAGAGTGGCAGAGTGCAGAGAGGAATGGCGGGATTTTGAGGAGGCCAATTCCAAAAAAGGGCACACAGATACCTAAAAGAAGATTGTAATATAAACGTGTTTAAATGTAAATGTATCTGAATTAAAGCCTATAGTTATTTTAACTAAAGCAGCTATTTCTAGAGTCTCGTCTATTAGTTCTCCAACATTATTAGGTTAGCGACTAACTTCAAGCATCTAATAAAACCTAAACCAGTTGCTTACATACAAAAAGCGTTTGAAAGCTAAAGGAAACTTTTGTAGCACTAATCTTATAACAAAGTATTTTATTTAAAGAAAATACTGTTTGACCGGATTGAAGTTATGTATTATTATAAATTTACAACTATTTAACATAATTTTAAATTTATCCGACGTTTCGCGTGCTTTTTCTACAGCTGTGATACTTTTTGACATCCAACATCTTTTGTCTTCAGTCACCGTGACCACGCACGCTGTAAAGCGCGCGAAACGTCGGATAAATTTAAAATTATGTTAAATAGTTGTAAATTTATAATAATACATAACTTCAATCCGGTCAAACAGTTTTTTCTTTAAATGTGTAAAGGTTATGTAAATCAAAGACAATACAAAGTATTTTATGTTCCACATACTTAGTATTTCACTAAGCCAATCTTCTAATGTTATGACCGTGTGTACGTATATAGTAGATGAGGGGATCGTGGTCGGCTCGAGTTTAATTAATCTGGATTTGATGAGGGATTAAGTTTGTGCGACGCGTGACGGATCGAGAGATCTACCCCCGACCCGTCTACTGTGGTTTAAAACAGATTTACCTCTCATTTCACTTCTACTCAATTTGTACACACGTTCAAGGCGTAATTAGAGCGTGGATATCACGGCCGTCGCAAAATATTTATCAATAATTCCATGTTTATGACAGGTTTAGGAATGCTTGTATAGAATTACTAGCTGACCGGGCAAACGTCGTTTTGCCATGTATATCATTTATAATAAAAAAATAGGGGTTGATCGTAGAGGGGTGAAAGTTAGGGGTTGTATGTATTTTTTAATGCTGAATCATAAAAAAAATATCTAAAAATAAAAAAAATATATTTAGGAGTGGACTACCCTTAACATTTAGGGGGATGAAAAATAGATGTCCGATTCTCAGACATACCCAATATGCACACAAAATGTCATAAGAATCGGTCGAGCCGTTTCGGAGGAGTTTAACCACAAACACCGCGACACGAGAATTTTATATATTAGATAATTAAATAGTTTATATAATACTTAATTAAATGCAGGCGGAAAATAATAAACGGTTCAAAAATATTATTGGTTGTATACGTTGTGTGTTTTCGAATGAAAAGTTATGTTAATTTAAGTATCTGTTTTTGTTATATATATATAAATAACGATCGCTATTTCCACGCTAGAAAATTTGCTGCCGCATATCTGAAAAAATCAGAAACTGAATGAAGCACTTAAACTGTTCCCTAAGTTTGCATACACGTATTTGAACAGAAATATATATAAAAATTTCTCGTTATATTTCTAAAGCAATACTGTAAAGTTCAAGGTTGGAATGTATAAAATACTTTCTAGAAAATATCCTTTCAATTCATTTAAAAGTTATTTTAAGGTTTACTCAATAAATCGAGTCTGCTGCAATTTAAAACCAACGAGCTATATATTTTAAATGAAAAAGTCTTAAAAGTCATTTTATTACCTTCGTAGTAAATGGTGCCAAAGATTTCTATAAAATACTACGATTTTCTCTCCGATTTTTATTCCGTAACATCTTAGGTATATACGAGATTCTACGTTAATTTAACTATAAATTTGAATAGTATCGTTACAAATTAATACTACCTTATAGCTTATACCTTATAGGATAGGGGGCAAACTAGCCTACGGGTCGCCTAAAAGGGGCAGTTATAGCAGCCCATGACCACGGACGTTTACGGGCCGGATAAGTATACTCTTAAAACAATTGAAGGTCATATTTTGAAAGGGAAGCCATAGGGAGTTGATTCCACAGTTCGCTAGTTTGCAAAAGAAATGTCTAGTGAAGTAGACCGTAGAAGACTTAGAAGACGTAGAAAACCGTAGACCACTTATCAAGGTGAGGCTGATGAATTTTTTGAAATTTAAAATAAATCTCATTGAAGCTTTCGCCATATAAACAATTATTAATAATACTTGCATACGAACGAAGCCGTGGGCAATTAACAATGGAAGATCACCATTGAAACTTAGCAACGAAGTTAACAATGACATTGATGTTTACAAATGTACTACTAGAAATACTTTTAAACTCTTAAACAAAAAAATGGAGGAACCTCCTTTGAGGGAGGAGTATACTCGAATTTTGAAATAATCAAAATCTGAGTAATTTTTATTTCTACAAAACATGGTATTCGTTAAATAAAAATCATATTCCAACTGGCTAACCACATCCTAACGAATGAAACTAAAAGGCTCGAATAATTTTATATATTTTCCGTTTAGTTCCTTTTACAAAACGTCAAGAAAGTTATAGCGAAATACAAGCACTAAAGACGTAATCAATAAAACTTGCTAACGAGCAGTTGATTTTACTGCAACATTCAATGAATTGAAAATAATAATTGCTATCGAACGGCCACTTCAGTTTTTACGATGCTGTAATACTTGTTAATTGCAGAAATTGACTGTGAATTGCATTTCTATATGCTAATAAATTGTTTGTGTTCAGTAATGCTGTCTAGACGAAAAAGATTGGGAGTAATCAGTATTGAAGTGTATGTATTTAGTATATACGTAGATTAAAGTCGCTTTTGGAAAAACTAAGCAGACTAACAGTTAGACAATGGCCTCGTAGACCCCACGTAGTCCCCGTAGAGGGGCCTACGGGAGACTACGAGCCTGGCTTGGGCAACCTCCAAGAATTGGAACAAGCATTATCCCGCAGCGTAGCTCAGTTTACCAAGTGTTATAAACTTGCAAGGAGAGGTTCCAGAATGGCCCGTCTAGACGAAAAAGATTGGGAGTAATCAGTATTGAAGAGTATGTATTTAGTATATACGAAGCTTAAAGTCGGTTTTGGAAAAACTAAGCAGACTAACAGTTAGACAATGGACTCGTAGACCCCACGTAGTCCCCGCACAGGTGCCTACGGGGGACTACGAGCCTGGCTTGGGCAACCTCTAAGAATTGGGACAACTACTATCCCGCAGCGTAGCTCAGTTTACCAAGTCTTAAAAACCTGCAAGGAGAGGTTCCAGAATTGTACTGCCAGCAGTAAACCCGCTAGTAACAAAGTGACTTCTAAGCCTCAACGGAACTAATCTCAAAATAATTATAGGGACAATTATTGGCCACTCTCTCCTTTATAAACATCTCCTTGTCCTAGGCGCGACAGACAGAGGCTATTTCAGCGCAGAGAATCAGTAGCTCACCAAGTCCTGAAATGCGTGGCTGTGTCACAACGAACAGAAATCCTCGGAGCGATGAGGTGATTCCGTGAAGCCTGCGAAGTGCCCACTAAACTTCTGAGCTTCTGGAAGGAGCTATTCTGGCTTAATTAGTCAGGACTTTACGCACAACGGACCAAATGAGCGTCGAAGTGCAAAAATTGAGTCCACACTACCAAGCGTTACGTATCATCAAGCCACAGAGTTTTTACCACAGATGTTGAAATTTGAAAGGGCCTTAAGTCGATTTGAACACTTCATTGCACGCGTATACAAAATTTTCGAATCACGGCGCACTCTGTATGTGCGGTTTGCGGTGTTTACATCACCTTTAACACGATGTTTATTCTGTCGTAATCATGTACTTGTCCAGCAATTAAACTCATTCAGAAATGTATGTATGTACATGCCAATGTATGCCACAAACACAAGCTTATGTTCATAAAACTTCGAAATTTAAAAACCTTATTTGTGGTGGTTTATAAGTACTGATGTCTAGTAACGCTAACCTTTAACCCGTAACCCTTCATTACACGCCATTACAGTGGTTTTTGTAACTAAGTGCTATCAAGTCAATCTACCGGTAGCCCGAAGTGAAGTACCGTCTTGCCTAGCTGAGTACACCTAACTACCTAACGCTTTCCCTACTAACTAAGTTCGATACTTCAACAAAAACTCTCTGCTCCTAAATTTCAAACATCTGAATTGAAACCTCAAAACATTCTTGGGAAAATTCTATTAAATGAATGTTAAAGAATCTCGACGATGCGTCACTGTCAGTGCGGGAGATGGGGAAGTGATTTTAGCGGAATGCCCATAACGTGCCGTGACTTTTGATGTCCTCACGTCACCCGCATTAATATTATGAATTAGACCTTTCTATTTGTCCTCTTAAATAACTTACCAGCTTTGGCCCCCAGCTTCGCGTAGATTGTGTATTTTTCCAAGATACTTTTTTTATACAACATGGATAAAACGTGCAGGAGGCTCACCTGATATTAAGTTTTGCCGGTCATTTAAAAATTTGTACGCTCTTTTCTTGAAAGACCGATTCAATAAGGTTCGAAAATACTTCAATGGGCAGCTGCAAGTGCTTTTAAAACGCTTGGTTGTGGAACAAAGAACGTCGAGGTGATACGGGTGGAATTTTATAATCTTCCTCGACGTTTTTGCGACCCTCAATATAATAATTGAACAATAATCGTTTATTTAAGTTAATTTACGTAAAACCATAACCAAACACACCTTTTATATTAAACTGTATAAATATTCGTTCGGTACTTTTTGAGTTTATTACGTTCATACAGAGAGACAATACAAGGGACTCCAATTTTAAAAATGTAAAATCGTGATTTTAAATTAACTTTTTTCTAAGACTTATAGCAAAGTTATTTAGTCTTTTGAAATTTCGTCGCTGAGTTGCGTCGTTGTAGATTTAAATATTATTTTACCGTTAAATATAAATTAAGTACTCTTAATGAAGTATTGAAATAGGTATTGCATGTTCTGTCTTTGTATTTTCTCACTTTATTTATTTACTTTGTAAAAATATTTAATCTAAATGCATCCGTTTCATGTTTAGGCAATTGACAGAGGCACAGAGGCATGTCTTCGATTTTAAGATCTAAGTACGACATTACGATTTCCTCGCTATTTTTTTCTCACATGGAAAGAAAATCCATAGTTGGGATTCGAACGCACGACTACAGAGAAATGGCCCTTGAGAACAGCTTTACCATGAAGTTGAGTATGAATTAGTAAAGTGTAAAAATAATTTTCTAATCTCATTTTATTTTAAACATTAGAAGGAAGTTAACGCTTTGAAAATGCATTTGGCAAAGAACATTGCTTAAGAATCACGAGAATATGTTCTTTAAAAATACGATTTACCGCCATTCCTTAAATCTTACTCTCAAAATGACGGGAGACGTGAATAACAAACCCATTAAAGTTGCCCCGTTGGGTAATGTTACAATATCAAGGGAAAATGGACATAAAAGTATGTTCTTTGTACAGTTTCATGGATGTAATTTAGGATAAATTAGTTAAATCTTTACAAAACTCTTTCTATAAGATGCATCAGACAGTGTTTACAATATATGTCAGATTGAAATCGCCTCTTTTACATCTTCATATGCCGCCCCATTCTTTAACGACAAGGCATATAATCCAAGACACTTTAGTTTGATTCCCCGTGAAACAGGGATTTATCTAGAATTCAAGTAGAATAGGCATGATCAATGCTTTAACCGCTATTATGCTATGCGCAGAAAAGATGAGTATGTGGAGAAACTGACCATGGTAACACAGAAGGCAAAAGATCACGTGGCCGTTCAACAACCAGATGGACCGATCAAGTGAACTTTACACCATTTTACACTACACCACACACCACACTTTACACCCTCCACCTCCCACCTCATCCATCCCTTCCCTAAGATTATCATGTACAAATGTTTCAACCATGTAAACCTGTATCCTTAGTTTGGTAGTCTTAGCTTTCTGTTTTTCTTTATAATATAATATTTTGGTTTCAATTATTGTTAAGTTACTATTTCATTAAACCATTGGAAGAGCGAAGTACCCTGATGAACAGGTCTCTCTTCACTTAGTTCAGGGGCTCTAATATCTGGTAAAAATGTAACTTGTTATTGAATAAAAAAAATTGAATTTCTTTTTTGAAGTGAAAGCCTCATAGTCAAAATTTTACGCTGTCATCAGTAGGCGCTGGACACAAACCGGTGGAAACAGATAGTCCGCTCCAGATACTTCCTTGCTGACCACGACGGTCAGACATGAGCCTATTAAAGAGAGAGAATGCTATAACACCACTGGATGTTACGATTTTGTATTACTAAAATATTAAGATTAATAAATAAATAAAATACAGTGGCACTTCTTCGGTAGCTTTAATTGTTTTTCTTAAACAGGTTACATCTGTGCCCGACACACACCGTTAATTTTAGTAGTTCACTTATCTCGCGATATTTTCTTTCACCGTACGAGCTACAATTATACGAGCTATAATTACATATATAATTAATAATACATAGAAGGAAATTTATTTTTACACAGCCGTAAAACGAAAACAACAGTGTTAAGTGGCGTACTCTCAAGCCAAAACTGCTGAAGGATATGTGAAGCTGTAATATTTCCAACATAACATCGAATATATAAAATTCTCATGTCACAATGTTCGTTCCCATACTCCTCTGAAACAGCTTGACCGATTCTTATGAATTTTTTTATGCATATTCAGTATGTCTGAGAATCGGCTACTATCTATCTTTCAAACCTCTAGTGATGAGGATCCACCCCAAATTTAAAATTTTAATTTTTTAGAAAAAAAAATTGTTTTTATTTTTTTATGATACCACAAAACAAAAATACATACAACCCATAATTTCACCCCTCTACGATCAACCTCTATTTTTTATTATTGTAGATAGTTATTTTTATTGAACTAAATGAAATTTCCTAGTAATAATATACATGGCAAAACGACGTTTGCCGGGTCAGCTAGTATGAAATAAAATTCAACATATTATTTCCTGTTACGAGTGGCAGCCCTAAGCCTCCAGGCTGTTAGGGCTGTACGTGCCAAAGAATAATTACTCAGGTTATACGCTGGGAACTCTGGTGATCTCCGCAAGGTTTGTGTACTTATTAAGTAATAGAATTACGAACTTCATCCTTTAAACGTCTTTATTCACCTCTACTTTGCCTTGAGTTATTTATACACTGAGAACGGAGGAATTCTTCAATGTTTGGCTGCTTAAAATATAAGCTTTATTTAGCAGGAATAAATTAGAATCAATCTCATAATTTTCTTTAAAAAACCTAATTTTAAACTAGATTATCTTTTGCGTTATATTAATCTCTGAATTGGTTTTTATAAACAATTAATTTTGTCTATTACCAATTAGGTTTTAATAGAATTCAGAGCTTGTTTTCTGTTATTTATTTATTTAACACTTCATTACATTTAAAGAAAAGCAAATACCATGATACACAAAAATTATAAGGTATGCAACGGGCGGCCTTATCGCTAACAAGCGATATCTTCCAGGCAACCAAAGTAAGGAAAAAACCTAAAAAAAGAAATATGATGGGTAAAGTGCAAGAAGCGCATAACCAAATCTTATAAAAACCAACCTTCATCTAAAATAATACAGAAAAAAGTAATAAATAAACTAAAAACTAAAAAACTAACCTCACGGATTCTTGAATTGTGATGCAATACAAAAGAATAAGAAATACAGTAGAACTCCAATTATTCGAACTCCGACTATCCGAATCGCCGATTATCCGAAGTGCGAGTGTGACCACTTGCAACTGCTCACCGTCAAGCGAATGCGTGAAATGGCTGCCCGAAAACGGTTGAAGACCGCAAAACAGCTTACATTGACGGAGATGTTTAAAAAACAATGATTTTTATTTCTAAACTTGTACATAAGTACATTTTATTTATATTTAAAACATGTGAAAATTTCATGTTTCTTTCATTTAATTCAATAAAAAAATAGTGCAATATCAAAACGTAGCTTTTATTCTCTCCAATGGCAATTTTTTTAAAAAAA